CAGTTATCTTTAAAAGTAGTTTTATTTTTCAAGTAAAAGGCTATAGCCTGTTCTTCCAGCGGTACACGAAGTTCTCATTGATCCAGGTACATGATTTATGTGCTTAGTTTCTTTGGGTTTTTTGTTTTTTTTTTCAGTGCTTGTTTCATTGTGGTGTGAATGAATGTTTAAAATTTCTGGATTTTGATCTTTAAAACATGCTGATTTATCAGAACTGTTAAAAACCTGATTGTTCTTTCGTCCTTGTTTGGTGGGGCACCCTATTGGTTACTGTTGTCTGTTAAAGAGGGAAATTCTTCCTCTAGCCTGCAGATCATTAAGTGAATGGTTGGCAGTGTGCCTTTAAATTTCATTGAATGTGTTGAACATGATTGTCCAGTGAATTTTGAATTGACTCACAGTAATGACTTTGTTTCTGTGGCTTTTGCTCCTCTCCACAAGAGTTTTAATTCTCTGTTGCATTTTGTATACGTGTTCTTCACAGGGGAAGAAATTTTGCATTTTTTAGAGAGGTGGGTGTTCCTAACCCCTCTGATTGCATTCTGTAATTGATACAACAATAATCTGTTATTGCAGTGCTTAATTATTTCATAAACTAGTTTTTGGCTTAATCAGAAACAATGACAGAGTGATAATAAAAAATAGGAAAACCTTCCTTTCTTTGAAGAATAGAAATCAGGTGGTCAGGCTTACCCATGCTTTGTGCGGGACACACTCTTATGTCATTGTGTATCATGATTCGGAGATGGAGTTGCTTCAGGTTTATAGATTTTTCTTTAAACATTTGTGTTGAATTCTTTCTCGAGGCTGATGTATACTGTTGGGTTTGTTGAAAGTTTAGAAGGGAAACAAATGCGGTTTTTTGGTTTCCGGAGGCCTGAGTTGCTCATGATAAAAAACTGAGGGTGGGCTGAGAAACAAAGTGACACTCACTCTCCTCCCAGATGAAACTGATGAAAAATGAAATCAATTAAGTGTATCGGTATTTGACCAATAGAAGTTAGCGAGACCAAACAGGCTAGTTATGCCCAAAGAAAGTACTGAATTCACCTGCAGAATTAAGTGTTTACCAAGAAGCAGCAGCTTAGAGCAATCAGAAAAATCAGTAAAATGATGAGATATAAAATGAATATAATATCTTTTATTTCTGAAACGTTTCTACGTTAAGTTGTGTAGAGCTAAAATTAAGTTTCAAGCACCAGGAATTAAGAATGTGGGTGGTTCTGTATGATCGTTATTCAGGGATGTGACTAGACCCTGCTAGAGTGGCTGAAGCTGGCAGGAAAAGACCTAGAGCCAGGATTTGTCACCCTAGGGTGTCCTCCAAAATGGTTCCATGTGGGAGCCCATGATTGGGTTAAAAAATTTTAACAGACACCAGCCTCCTGTCAACTTTAAGATGAAAAAATTATGCTTAATAACTGCTTTGCAAACAAGCGCCTGTGCATACTCACTGCTGTCTCCTTGCCTTAAAAAGCGGAGACAATGCTTTGCTTGCAAAGTTGAGGTTTTAGATAGCACTCTGCTCATTGCAAAGCAAGGACCCAGGACCTCAGCTATAAACGCTGGGCTTGTGTGCTGTTAGATAGTCTATTATCCCCAAAACAAGGACCTAGCTGGTCTGGTGGTCTGCTGTGTAATTCACATATCTAAAGAATATATCTTACTCTCCTCACCCCATGACTTCCCTAAAGATACACTAAGCCTTTGTACTCAAGTTGGATTCTACAATCTCTGTCTGATCCCTTCTTTCCCCAGGTTCCTGTTTACTATCAACACTGTAGCTGTTAATGATTTTTTCCTTTGATTATACACAATAAATATGGGAGCATTTGAGAGGCTCGTGGAGTTGGCTCCCTACTCCCTCTCTATTTCTTGACTTTTTCCACAGAGTCTTGAGTAATCATTACATGTCAGTAAGACTTCTGCCAGCCAGAACCCACAGTTCCAAGTGAGAACGATGCAGGCTTTATCTCTCCTACCCAAGGGAGAGAGAGAAGAGAATTGAGATATTCTCCCCTGGTGGTCCCTTCCTGCCCCAGGGCCACTCCAGTTCACCTGCAGCCTTCTGGCCTCTGCTCAGAGGGCCTGTGTCCCAGGACTGACCGCAGCCTTTTCTTCCCTTGTCAACATTTCCTGTGACTTTCGGAAGTTGGTCTCTTCTCTGCAATTCAACCCTGGCAGATGTTGATGGTGGTCAGCGTGCTTGTGGGCAGTCACTTGGGGACTCCTAGGAGCCATGCTGTTTCCTCAGTCTCTCATTCGGGGTTACAGAACAGTTGAGCCCCGAAGGAAGCCCATTCACGTGAGGTCAACAGAGTATTTCATCACTTTCATTTTATTTTTAAATTTTCAGTGGAGAAATAATTTGTAGCAAACTGTTCCAGATATTCGGCCGCCTGCTTTCCTCACCACCTTTTCCTTGTTGCCTCTGGTGCTTGTTTTAATAACAAGGTTTCTTCTCTGGTCATTTCTAGCAGCTGGGCTTGCTAAATCCTTGATCTGCATTTGAAGCAAAGGCTTCTTGGTGATGTCAAACTGATTTTCCTATTTCTGAATATTTCATGAACAATCAGATACTTTTTTCAAGTGAATTTCTCTTGTCTAATTTCGGTTAACTCACATTTGCTGATCTCCTGCTTTCATGCTGAGGGCAGTTTCTTCTTCCTGTATTAAAAGTTAGCAATTTGCATTTACTATTTGAAGGTACTGGCCCTAGGTTCTTTTTCCTTAACAGTTTTAATACAATTCACCCATTAACATGTGCAGCACTTTTTACTCTATGCCCAGAATTATGCATCTAAGTCAATCTCAGAACATTTTCATCCCCCAAAGGAAGCCCCATATGCACAAGCAGTCATTCCCATTTTCCCCATCCTCCCCCAGGCCCAGGGAGCCACTCTTCTCTCTCTCTGGATTTACCTGTGCTGAACATTTAATGTAAATCGAGTCACTTCATGTAAGTGGAACCGTCTATTGTGAATGACTTCTTTCACACTGAGTAACGTGTTCAAAGTTTGTCCACGTTGTGGCCTGGGTCAGTAATCTATGCTTTGCTATTGCTGAATTATATTCTACTGTATAGCTGGGCCGCACTGTTTACCCATTCATCAGGTGATAGTTATTTGTGTTGTTTCTGATTTTTGGCTGTGATGAGTAATGGCGCCGTGAATATTCCTGTAGGAGTTTTTATGTGGACATTTGTTTTCAGTTCTCTTTTAGATACATTATGTTTACATAGCAGAGTAACTTATCAACTAGATTTGACAAGAGGAGTGTATTATTGATTATTTGCTTTAGTTGAAATATTCTAACTTTCATAAAGTATCAGTGCCCATAAATGAACAAGTATGTTTGTATTATTTTGCAACATATAAGCAGACTTCATATGTTTCTATATAATATATATGACTGTGTGTTTTAATCTGTCAGTGTTTTCATAGTTTTTCAGCAATGTTGTAACTTTAGAATTCTTCTGAGAAAATCACCCGCGATTCTAGTGCAGTTTGTACAGTGCATCCTGTCTTTTGCATGGGATTCCACTGTCCCCTCAGTGAGGACTTTCCTCTCCTATTGAGTTAGTAGTAGAGTTAAAGGAACTGTGATTTCTAGGCCTTCGCTCTCCATGTGTTTGCCTTTGGCTGTCAATCACGATTTTCCCTTTCTTGAGTTTTCATTGTTCCATTAGAATTTTTGAAAATAACTATTAATATGTTGCATCGATCTCCCTAGAAACTTGATGTGTTTGTGCTTTTCAGTTTTTAATTTATGAAACATGTGAATGCACTCTTGTTTTTAAGTAGTACTTTTTCACTAGATATTTGTTTATCTCTTTATAGTTAAAATATTTTTTCCCAATGAATGAATCGGTGTGCATGTTTTAAAAGATACCTTACTTTTTATTGTTCTTATTGTAACAGTTATATTCATTGTAGAGAATTTAGAAAATAAGGATAAACACAATAATAACTTAAAAATGGCCTCTAACCTCACCTGGAGATACTATTGTAAGGTTTGAAATTGAGAATTACAAGTCCTCTCAACTTGTTCTTCTTTTTCAAGTATATTTTGGTTACTGAAACCCTCGAATTACCATATGAATTGTAGCAGAAGCTAGACAGTTTCTGCAGTGGAGCCTGCTGGGATTGTGATCGAAACCACGTTTTATGAATGAATCGCTCTGGGGAGCATTTCCATCCCAAGAGCGCTGTCTTCTGATCCATGAATGTGCGTGGTGTCTCTGTCCAGGTATTTAGGTCTTCTTTAATTTTTTTCAACAATGTTTTGAGTTTACCCAGCATTATTTTACTTTATTTTTCTTTGCCTTTATACTGAGGACAAGTGTGCAAGGTACCGGGATCAGAAGTGTATTTCAGCCCCGCGACTTGCTGCCACGATGAACGCTGCACTCTTGCTTGGCCCTCTGTAAAATCTTGCACAAAATAGGACGTCAGTAACTCTCTCGAATGAATGATAATATGATTGTTGATTGATGTTTGAGGGTCCTTGTGATGATGTCTTTTTCCCAACCTTTCCCCTCTTCTTAACTATGCCCTTTATCTTCCTTTCCTCCAGCCTGGTTTTCAGCCTGCCTGTGGCATTGATTTTCCCTGCCTGTAGATTCTTCCTTTCACTGGTTCAGGATAATGTTACATATGGGCTGTAGAAACATGCTAGATGACAAGAAAGAGCAAGTCCATTGCATGCTAGTATTTTTAGATTGTGTTATTCTTTTTTCGATTGAAATTAAATCAGGCTAACCCCCTGAGCCCTACCATGAGCTCTTTCCGCCTTCCTACAAGTGATACTGCTCTTGTTGCTGCATGTTCCCTGCCCCCAGCCTTGGTTTTGGAGTTGAGTAAATCACCATCAGTGAAGCCCTCTCTTTAAAAGTTGAAGAGAATATTTGCTCCTTCTCTCTCATTGGGGACTTGGATGAAATGAGTTACCAGATAAAGAATGGAGCGCCACCTCATTCTGAAACCCGCTCTTTCCGTTCTTTCTCCAGGGGAAAAGAGTACAATTCAACAATATAAAGATTGATTGTGAGCTAATGAGATAGACAAGACAACCGATCATTTATTAAATATCCTTTCATGCTAGAAACAAACGTATTATACACACAAACAGCACACAAATCACGGTAGTACCGTGGTTACAAACGTGGGTCCGAGTTCGAGTCCTGCTCTGGAGTGACCAGTCCTGTGAGATGGAGAAATGGTAGGTCGGCTTAGCCTCTCCAGAACTGGTTTCCTGTCCTGCAGAGACTGGGCTCCCTAGGCGTCCCCCAACCGTAGAGGTGCTGTGGGGTGTAAATGATGCGCGTGTGCAGCCCGAGCACAGCTGCTCGTTCCTCGTAAGTGCAGGATCGCATAGCTTTTGCGGTGACGGCTTTATGACCGCCCGGTGTAGACTCTCAGTGCTCCGAAGGGATGCCTTGTGGTTTGGAGATGGGATTCTCACTTCTGTAAATACCCAAGGATAGTGTTATTGGGCCCTGCTGATTTGAATCTCTTCTTTAGAAAGTACATAATGTAGATATATTTTTCAAGCATGCGTGCTTTTTTTCTTGTACTATTTAAAATTCTACCCTCTCATCTCTTGGTGTGACTTTTCATGGAATCCAGGAAACAGTCCTAAGCTACCTGCCTCTTCACACTTCTCCGTGGTGGTTTCCTTCCCTGACTCGAAGAGGGTTTTGCATAGGAAATTTTATTTGTTCCCCTTTTCTTGGAGTCTCTCTGTCTGTCTGCCCATCTCTCACCTCTCAATCTGTCCATTTATCGACCCACTGATTCTTCTGACATGTTCCAAAACACATTTCAGGCAGGTTACAGAAGAACAGATACCAAATAAACAGGTGAGAAAATTAGACCAAGTTCATACAGTGAAGCTAGGAGGCGAGTCTTTATGACGGTTGTAGGCGTGAGACACACGCCTCTTCCCTGTGACTTACATGATGGACAGCAAGAGTGTGCCTAAGGCTCCCAGCAGACACAGGGAAACAGAGTTTGTGGGAGATGCTCACGGCCGTGATGCTCACTGGCCGTGATGCTCACTAAGCCTAAGTGGCTGAGCTACTTAGGCTTAGAAGAATATTTTGAATGTCTTCCAAAATCAGAGCATTGCATCTTTTCTTTTGTGAGAGTTCTATGTATAGTTGGCTACATTCTATACCTGGAAATTTCTCCAAAACTGCTTCCCACGTGAGTCCCATGGCTCGGGAATGGGGTGGTTCTGCTCATTGACGGGGGTTGGCCAGAAACAGAAAATGAGAGCCTCAAAGGTGCCTGGGATTTGTCAGTTATGTTTTGTCACTGCTGTAGAGTTGAAAAAATGCTTTCACAGTTTCTCTCCATCTGAGGCGGCAGCGTAATCTCTTACCAGCATCAGGAGCTCAGGGCCACGGGATGGTGGGGGCTGACTGCACTGCCGTCAAGACAGCTGAGGTAGTCACTGCAGGTGTGGTTCTTTTACATACGGCATTTCATGTTCTTTACTAGAATGTTTCAACAGGGAGTTAATTAACTGAGTTAATTAACATTAAATAAATATGATCTTTGTTGAAAAGACATTTATAGGCAGAATATAAGCTGTGTAGACTTTAAAAACGGTTTCATTACTGAAATTTCATTTGGGAAGATACACAGTTTATCTTATATATGCCTCTCTTTTAAAGTAACAAAGAAACTAGACAGGAAAGGCAGAGGATGGTTTCTGTTCTTCCTCTCGGCTTGCAGGTGCCCTCACGCCCAGTAGCATCAATCCAGACACCAGCACTGACACTGGCCGTGCTCAGAACTGCCTCAGCTCTGAAGACACTGCTGACAAATAGAAGGGGGCCGCGCCCTGTTACAGCAGGTGCTCTCACTTTGTGTGTCCTTATGTAACTGCGTGGTGTTAATCAGGATCGCCCGTCCTACATTGTGTGACGCTGCTGTCTTGTC